AAGTTATACCCGGTTGCCCTCTATCTATTAAACAAAAATGACCGGCCTAAAGAAAAATCATTTTGCTTTATGTCAGAAGGTAATAAGCATGACATTGATTTTGTGTATGAAGTTCAGACACAAATAGCTAATTATATTAAAAAAATTATTTATTTTTTATATGGTTGTACTGCACAGTATAAAAACCACAAAAACCTTTACAATATCTGTTTCCATAAAGATGATTTTGACATTGATTTTTTGCTACAATCATGGTAAGTCACCATGTGATGGTATTAGTGGTACTGTAAAACTGTTAACTGCAAAAGCAAGTCTACAAAGGCCCATAAATGACCAGATATTGAACTTAAGAAATTTTTTCAAGATTGAAAAATACTTACAGAATTGTGCGCCACTTTGAAAAAATGTTTTCAGTTATATAGAATTATTCCTAAACTAGAAGCTATCATCAATTTAACCCAGAATCTATAGATACTGTTAGCTTTGAACCTAAATTTAAATTTAAAAAGAAAACCTGTTATATTAAATCTTTGTAAAGATTTTATATAACAGGTATGTTTTTTTTTTCTGGTATTCAAAGTATTCAACTAATCTTCAAATTAGCATCAATACATTGAAATTTGGTGAATTTATTTTGTTTAAATATGATACGTTTCGTTGGATTGGTATGACAAATGAAATTAACAATATTGAGCAAGATGTTATGGTAACATTTATGCATCCGCATGGTCATTTAAACAAACTTTTTTACCATCTAGATCAGATGAGTGTTGGGTTCCAATTACCAACATAATTTGTATCATTGATGCACCTGTAACAACAACTGGACGTATGTGTACTTTGACCTGTGGTGCATCTAAGCAAATCTTAACAATCTTGATATATTTTTACTTTATATTTTTGTATTTTACTTTGTAAATAATTAAATAAAACAGAACAAGTACAAACCAAAAAGTTTTTTTAAGACAACATTTTCAAAGTTATCTTTACATTATTGAAAATACAAAAAAAAAAATTTATTTTAAGAAAATAAGTGGGACATGGCCCCAGACATGAGCCATGAAGCCTTTGGTCATCTGCCCTGGAAGTGATTTTAACACATGTTCATCAGGACTACACAAGTGCTGAAAATTTGTGAGCTTCAGTTTGTCTGAAAAGTAGTAAAAAATCTCAAGATTCTACTACAATAAAGTGGGGCACTTGCCCGGTCCCCCCTAATGTCTTGGGGCACTGAAAACAGTTTTATTATGCACATTCATTGGCACTACAAAAATGCCAAAAGTTTCAGAGTTCCAGCTAGCCTAGAAGGTAGTGAAAAATCAATTGGAATATTCTGCTACAAAAAGGTGGGGACTGTGCCCCATTATCTATATATTGAAATCCATTTACTTGCGGATCAAAACTTTTTTTATTTTTTGAAAGATCAATGAATATAGAATGTGTAATCCTTTTTTTAGATATCGTTGTTAACAAGTTGTTAAGTAAAAAATCAAATATTCTTAAAGTTATGTGACTTAAAATTTCCAAATAAATGTGAAATTCTGAAGGGCCATAAGGGGCCTGGCCAATATCTACTAAAAGTAAAATGGTCATACTTCAACATCTTGATAATTTAGCCAGAGGCTAAAAATTTCAAGGAATTCTTATTTTACTAAGCACTCTCAACTGTATAAAAATTAGAAAATTTGAGGTGTATGTAAATGGGTCATTTAACATGAAACTACCCTATGTTAATATATGATACCAATAGTATCATTTAGTATCACAATTTGGGTCTTCACGAGAATTTGTATTTCATTTTTATAAACAATTAGTAATTTTAAATAATAAGTTTACATAACTGAGATGTTGTGGGGAGTGTGAAAATAGGAAAAAAAAGTGGGGTGTATATATATATATATATATATATATATATATATATATATATATATATATATATATATATATATATATATATATATATATATATATATATATATATATATATATATATATATATATATATATATATATATATATATATATATATATATATATATGTATATACTGCACTAAATTAGATTTAACAAATGAAGTATCATTTCGGTCACCATTCCTCCTAAGATTTACAGCAGGTTGTAATAAAGTATATACTTTTGATTTTAGAGGAATTGTTCCGTTGAGTTAAAATTGGACAGCCATAAGTTGAAATAGGACAAGCGAGTAATTAACAACATATTAACAAAAATTAATAATTAAAAACTAATAAAATTGTAAACCATTTATCTTGATCAAAATGTTTAAGAGGTTTCCAATCTTTATCAAAATATTTAAGAGGTTTCCATAATATAGTTACATAAAAAATAGATGGGAGAAATTGTAGTTCAATTAATTTTTTTGTCCCCTTTTTTCATCCCTCAAAAAATTGTTTTTTAGGGGTACTTTTTATGTTGTTTTTGCAACACACAGGGAGAAAAAGCAATGTTTGCTAAATAGAGGAAAAAAAGTTTACATTAAACTGTTTACATTAGATAACATTGATTAGAAACTTCTCCTGATTAGAATTTTTGAGATGTTCCACTTTTCCTATGTCCTACTCCTACATTTTATTACTATAACTTTTTTTAAGCTTAAAAATTGTTTATCAAAGTCTTTAATTTAAACTAATTTACTTAAGTATGTATTTTATTTTTAAAGGCTAAACATCTAAAAAGCAATCTTTATTGCATTTTGTTAATAATAAATTCAAAAGGTCACATTTTAATTTTTTTTTCTTTAATTGTGTCTGCAACCATTCGATACCATACAGTTTTTTTTATTATCAGTATTGTGTGTTATCGAACCAATACTGATGGTATCGACATTAGTATAAAAGCAGTACTACCTGGTATGAGACAATCATTCTTGGTATGGTTTGGTATTGAATCAATACTGGCGATTATTAGTATATAAGTGATACCACACGATACAAAACCTTCCTTCTCAGTATCAACTTACACAATACCGATTATCTAGTGTCTAATAATTACATATTACAACATATTTTTTACAATATATTTAAATGAAATGATTCCACTGTGAAGTGGTTTTTAGCTTCACTACTAATGGATTTCCATGAGTAGTTGGAGTTATCAACTAAGGGTATTTAGTTGGAGTTATTAACTAAGGGCAGGCTTGTGGAGCTGAATGTTTTTTTTATGGCTCAGTCCTGGCTCCTAAGAAATATCCAGCTCAGATCCTGTTATTTATAAACAAAAATCGCAAATTTTTTTTGTGATTACATTTGCCAACCCAAATCCAAACCAATTACAGCAATTAAATTTTAAGCAACTTTCATGATTGCAAGGTATCACTACTCTACTACCAGATATTACAATTAAAAAAAGATGTTTTGAGTAAATATATATTTATTTCTACCCCAAAAAAAACGTTTTGATGTCTTTTAAACGTTAAACGTTTAAAAGACGTACAAAACTTTCAAAAGATGTTCAAAACGCTTCAAAGACGATTAAAAGACATCTTTTGCATATCCCGTGCTCACTGGGCAAAGATCATTAAATTCAAAACGATGAAAAATTAAAAAAAAAAAAATAACAATAGTTAAATTAATACAATTTTAATTTTTTTTGATTTATTTTTTTAATATTTTTTAGTTTATAATAATATTTTATTCTGTAAAGTTCATCAAAGGAACTTGAAGATTATAACAATGCTTTTATTTTTTTATTTTTAATTATTTCAAATAAATAGACAAACATTTACGCTAACTGACGACGTCATCTTCTGCTCTGTGTCTTTGGCAATTTTTTTTCCTATTTATGTCTCAAAATAAATTTTTAGCTGTACTTGTTTTGCCACTTACGCAAATATCCTGTGCCAATTCCCCAAAATATCTTTATGTGAAGGAACTGTGGGCAGATTGATGATTCAAGCTTTTTAGTATGAATTTGATGTCTCTCAAATAATACCACTCTACAGTCTTAATAATGACAAGAAGCAAGATCAGGCTAGAACTAACAGTGGACATAGTGACTTTAATAAAATGGCAAAAATCTACCTTAGAAGCTTTCCTTGATGTAAACACCCAAGTTTAAAGTTGACGACTTGACAAAAACTCGAGATCTCAAACCGCAGCTGCATATTGCTTGCCACAAGAGAAGTTTTTGACCAAATTTATCCAACAATATATATACTTGAACTCGTTGCTGACATGTCCATGAACAATTGAAGTGTAAAATTTTGGACCTGGGAGCTGTTTAAAGTCACATTTGATGTGCATTTTGTCATCCATAATTATAAAGCCATTAAATTTTGTAAATACTTTGTCATAAAGCTCATTCTCTGTTCAATTAGCCAGGATTTTTAGTGAATAATCGTCGAATACTATTTGCTGCTTTTTTATCCTTAAAGCCACTCTTTTTCAAGATCCTTTTACTCATTTGATAGAGAGCTCTTGTATTGTTTTATGACCATATAAACAGTAGTTTTGCTAGATTCAGATGCTTTAGCAATTGAAAGTAATGATACAGAAGGATTTTGTAGATAGTTGTGCAGAATTTATTTTCGTTTTTCTAACTGTATTAATGACATTAAAGGGAAATTTTTTGACTTGTTGATGTTTTTAGTTAATACTCTCATTGCTTAATGTAATTAAGCAAAAATAATAATTATAAAATGCGGTAGTGACAAGTTTTAAAACAAAACTTATCATTCCAAATTTAACAATCGCATGCAATAAGTAATTCATTTAACAAATTATTTAAACAATGAATGAATTAAGTTTTTCAACAGTAAAAAAAACATACATTCTATTGCTTTAAAAATACATGAGAGCCGTCTGTTTTTCACGACGCCGGCTCCACCAAAAAACAGCGACTCCACATATCCAGCTTAACTCCACAAGCCTGACTAAGGGTACTTAGTTGGAGTTATCAACTAAGGATACTTATGGTTATCAGCTAAGTGTACTTATAGTTTTATAATAGAATTAGCTACCAAATGTTTTTAATGCAACTTTTTAGATGGTAGCATCAAAGTTTTTGATTGATGAAGGGGAAGACGATGAAGTTTTAAATGATGAATGGGCTGAAGCAGGTCAGTGTTTTTAATCAATTATTTTTTTTTAAAAAAAAGACATTTTTATAATATTTGTTACAATTTTTTTTTTTTTTTTTTTTTTTTTTTGCATCTTTAGCTGGTTTGGGTGTTTCTACTGTAAATAAGCTAGAGCGAGATTTTCTTGATGCAATGGTAGGTTATAAATTTGTTATAAGAATTTAAATTTAATAAGCATATTTAAATTAAAAACTTGTTAAAGCTTGTTGTAAATAAACAAAAGTTTTTAAATTACTCTAAATTTTTTTAATTTAGATTTTAAATGCACACATATCTAAATATAAGTATCTTTAGATATGTAGCGTAATTATTTTACGAAAATATTTTACATCATTTTACGTAAATATTTTACATCATTAGATATGTAGTGTAAATAAGATATTTTACATAAATTTGGATTATTACATCATGGAATTTAAATTACGCCAAAAGAATTCTAGAAGTTCTTGTTAAATTTTTAAAAAATCCTTAAAAAGTTTTTTATTTGGAATTAGGAAACTCAATAATATATTAAATAAGAGATAATAAAATCTCAGTTTTTTAATTTGAAAACAATAATGATGATGATATCTGTTTTTAATTTCAACTTTAATTCAGATAAAACTCAACTTTTTTTAGCCAATTGTTATTGCAATAATTTAGATCTTCCTATATTTATGAATGGTGATGTACTTGATGAGTCATCTACCCTTCATCTTCTAGGATTAATTCTTACTTCTGATCTTTCTTGGAAACCATATATTAAATCCGTTGCAAAATTAGCATCTGCTAAAGTTGCATCTCTTTATTGAGCTCGTCACTTTCTTACTCTGGATTCTATTCTCTATCTCTATAAATCTTAAATCCGGCCTTGTATGGAATAGTGTTGCCATATTTGGGGCGGATCTTCTAATGATGCCCTTTCTCTTTTAGACAAGGTGCAAAAACACATTGTAAACATAGTTGGACCTGCTCTTGCAGCCAACCTTCAACCATTATCATATCGCCGTCATGTTGCTTCTCTTTTTCTTTTCTACAAATTTTATAATGAGCACCGCCAGGGTTTGCCATGCAAAGCATTTTGCGTAACTTTAATAAAATGTCTCAAAAGATAATTTTTAAAGTAATTTATTTCAAATGCAATTAAAAATGTAACAATAAGTAATTTGTTCAAAATGGTTTTAAATCTTTTTAAATTTACTTTTTTTTAGTATTAGTATTTGTATAAGGATTTCACAAAGGATTTTTTGTATACATATAGAAAAAAAAGTGTAAAAGTTGCAATTACAGTTATTGCAATAATTTAGATCTTTCTATAAAGATCAGAAGCAAGAATTAAACAGTTAAATTTGTAAAAACAATAAACAGTTAAATTTGTAAAAACAAAATTTTACAGATATTCAAGCACACAAGCATTGTTAAAAGTTTACTAGTTATTAAGTAACATAAACTAATTAAGATGCAAGTGCCAATAAATAAAAAATTACTCCATCAAATAATCCAAATTTTTGATCGAATTGTTTACTTTAATTTGAATAAATATGTTTATTGAATCGTTCAAAATAAACTTGTGCTTTTTTCTTTTTGATTGCATTCATTTATAAACTTTTCACCACCTTAAAAATAGTGCAATATAAATAGATGCTTATTTCTGTAAAAGCAAGTCTTGAATTATAAATTCTTTTATAGACAAGAAAACTATCTTGAAAATTAATAAACTCCATAATTCGGTACTTCTGAAATAAAGCCACATCACCAATGCTACAATGATATAAAATTTAATACATGCTTTTGCTTTTTAAAAAGTAACTAAGACTTTTAATCTTCACACTCCTTGAGCTGAAATATGAAAGTTGATAATTTGCTGGTTCCAAAAAAGTCATAAAAGTAGAAATCTGAGTTTGAGCTGAAATATGAAAGTTGATAATTTGCTGGTCCAAAAAAGTCATAAAAGAAGAAAATTTAGATTCATTAAAGCGATAAAATCATATTTTTCATGTTCATATAATGAAGGACTAAATGATACAGAAAATCAACAATAAAATTATGGCTATTTCCAGTATTAAAATCAACAATGCTGCTTTCTGTATTTATATCAGAATTAATAAAGAGATTACAAATTTCTTTGTTATATCGGTTATATATATTATTTGCATCTATTTTAAAATTATTTTCATTCTTTTTGACAAGAAAATCTACAAGATGTAAACTTTTTGATTAAATATATAATTTCAAAAGCTTTATTTTTTTTATCCTTTTTTCCTAGTTTGTCATCGAATATTTAGTTGTTTCTATTTTTTACACCAGCTGGCAAAGTTCTTTCTATTACACCAGCTGGCAAAGTTTTTTCTATTACACCAGCTGGCAAAGTTTTTTCTATTACACCAGCTGGCAAAGTTTTTTCTATTACACCAGCTGGCAAAGTTTTTTTCAATTACACCAGCTGGCAAAGTTTTTTCTATTACACCAGCTGGCAAAGTTTTTTCTATTACACCAGCTGGCAAAGTTTTTTCAAAAATTGTTCAAGCAAGAATCTGATAAGAGTAAATCCTAATAACATTTTCTTGCACTTTTTTATACACATTTTTCAGAATATTTTTCATTCGCATTTTTCAGAATATTTTCTACACATTTTTTAGAATGTTTTATTGCAATTTTATACACATTCAGTATTCTTTGTATTTTTGTTTCTTTGTATTTTAAATTGTTTGTCCGCATTTTGATCCCAGAAAGCTTTGCAAAAGTTTTATTAAATCTATTTTTAGAACTGTAACAGCACCTTTTTAAGTTTATGTTGTGTAAAATCAAAAACATTTTTATATAATATGTGTAATATTTGTAAAAAATATAAAAAGTTTGTATATATCCAGCCACATTGTTTATCTGGGCCCTAGCCCAGATAAACAATGTGGCTGGGTATATACAAACCTTTTACTGGCTGGGTATTTATAGTGGCTGGGTATATACAAACTATACTGGGCCCACCTAGGGGTGGGCCTAGTATGGGGTGGGCCCAGTATGGGCTATTTAATGATCATTGCATGGCTACCCATATGAAGCCCACCTAAAAGTTGACTGCGGACGCCACATGGGGCCAATATGGGTTAGTTTGAAAAAATGAAAATTTACCACCCTATAATATGTATTATAAATATTATTTGCTATTTAAAAGGTTAATACTAATTAGGGCTTGGCAAAAACTAAAAAATTTCAAAAAACAGTTTTTGGTTTTTTTAAATTGTAAAACCGGGTAAGCGTTTTTAAACCGGTTTTTTATTACAAAAACGAATTTTAGTTATTGCCATATAAATCCAATTTAAACCGTAACGTATTTTTTTTTTTTTTTTACAGTAACTTATCTTTTTTTTTTTATCAATGTACAGTAACATCTTTTTTTCATTAATTTACAGTAACATCTTTTTTTTATCGATGTACAGTAACATCTTCTTTTTTTTTATCAATGTACAGTAACATCTTTTTTTGATCAATGTACAGTAACATATCTTTTTTTTATCATTATTAAATTTAGTTTGAGTCAAATGAACTTGGATCATTTTTTTTTAAGCCTCTTTTTTCCTTCAAATCCTTTTTTTTTTTTTTTGTGGTTACTCAATAACCTATTTTTAATTTTTATACTATTCATAACTGAATATTTTTTATACTATTCATAACTGAATATTTTTTAACTAAAAATCATGCATGTGATCTGTTTACAAAAGTATAATATAAAAATATACTACGATTTACAATACTTTAAGTACAAAATAATTACAAAAACATGTTTTTTGTTGAAAAGTTTGTTATTTTGATAATTTTTTTTTTCAGTTTACAATGTTAGTTGTGATCCTTAAGTCATGATTCATAATAACATAAAAGACTTGTAAAAGTCTTTTATGTTATTATGAATCTGTAAAAAAAATGTATACAATTCAGCGTACTAAAAATATAAAGCTGGATTTGCAAAAAAAGATCATAAAGATCTTATTATCAGAATCTTGAAAGTAAACATATTTTTTATAATAAATAGATATATACTAAAGAATTAACATAATGCAAAGATACATAATACCAACATTTTAATATAAAATAAGATAAAGATTAAACAAATACATTTCACATACAATTTTACATTTACATTTTTAGTAGAATTTTAGAATGTTGTCTATAGAGAGAATTTTTAGTAGAATTTTAGAATGTTGTCTATAGAGAGAATTTTTAGTAGAATTTTAGAATGTTGTCTATAGAGAGAATTTTTAGTAGAATTTTAGAATGTTGTCTATAGAGAGAATTTTTTTAATTTAAAAAACAGGAAGAGTAGAAGAAAGATTAAAATTTACAAATACTATGTTGTTTCAAAGATGGCTCAATTTGGAGATTTAACAATCTCAAATCAAAATAATTAAACAACAATAAAAAATTAAACAACAAACAAAATGAAACAACAAACAAATATATTAAAAAATTGACAAAATACTTCAAATTAGTGTTACTTATCTTTTCTAGATTGTTTTGAATAATAATGATAATAATAATTTAAGTAATTTATACAAAAAGTTTAAGCATTTGCAAGCAGGGTAACTAACGAAACTCTGCTATGATAAATGTTAGTTTTATATAATTCAGGGACTATCTTTTTCCGGATATTTCCAGAATTCCGGATATTTTTTTTCAACTATTATAATATATTTATTTTTAAGGTTTTTCACTCATCACTCATAGAAAAATTATGAAAAGTGTCAAAAAAAAGTAAAAGCAACTTAGCTAAAAGTGAAATTAAAAAGAAAATAAGGGAAAACGAATTCTGGATATTTTATTTAAACAATTTTCTGGATTTTTAAAATATGACTAGGATGATCTATGATAATTATTATAAGTATTTTCAAATTTAGATATTGTGACAGATTCTGTCAGTATGTAATCTATTAATAATTGGTAAAAAAATTATTGAAATAAATAAAATTATCAAAGTGCTTTTTAAAACAATATATATTTTCATGATATTTGTGCTTTCCGCAATACTTCTTAGCTTGTCAAAACAAAAATTCTTTGAACTATTCTTTGAATAAAATTCTTTGAATCTATTATGTAATGTATAATTAACGACCAGTTTTTGTTTTTTTTGTTTTTTCTTGAAAAAAAACGGTTTTCGGTTGTTTTTCTAAAAAAAACAGTTTTCAGTTTCAAGAAAACTGAACAAAAAATTGGTTAACCGATTGCCAAGCCCTAACACTAATGTACCAGTACTTAGCTAAATAAAATGAATGTGTTTTACCTATAGTTAAAATAAGTTTGTTAGCTAACTTATTTTCGTATCAACATTTATTTTTTTTGTGTCTTAAAAAATTATTTGCTGGACGATCTCAATAGACTGTTCAGATAGAATGTTTTTATATTTCAGATATTAAGTTCAGAGAATATTTTTATATTCCACACACTGTTCAGTAAACAGTATATGAAATAAAAAATGTAGCAAAAAAACAAAACAATGCATACGATTATAATATATATTTCATATGATTCACCTTTATATATCCGAAGATATTTCTCTGTGAAGCCTTGTGATTTAGCACGTTTGACTCAATTGCCATCTCAGTCTTTTGATGTAGTATGCCGAGCCCCTTGAATTTGACTTTGATGGACATTCCTCGTTACAGTTTCTACAAACAAAATATATTAGATTTCAATAAGAGCAATTAAAACCTGATATGCGGATGACAATAGTAATACTTGAAAATAGCTTTTTTGAGATATATAGCGCGTATATCTTTTTAAATGGATAAATTAAGATTATTTAAATGCATTAAGCCTAGATTACTTTTTCGGGTTACATAATCAAGCTATATAAGTTTATTCTTTTTGTAATATTATTTTGTTGCTGTGATATTTTGTTAATAGTTTTATATTTTGTGTTTATAAATTAAATAAATTTATTTTATAAATAGTTAATAAATAAAATAGTTTATAAATAAACTTTATAGTTTATAAATATAGTTTATAGTTATAGTTTATAAAAATAGTTTTTAGTTTATAAACTTTGTTTATAAATAAAAAGATAAATAGTTTATAAATAAAATGAAATAAATAAAATAAAATAAAAATGTGTTTATGAATAAAATAAATGTGTTTATAGATAAAATAAATTTATAAATAAAAATAAAATTTTTTTTTTGCCTTTGCTCCATGTGCTCATTTGTCTTAAATTCAAAACAACAAACAAACGTATGTTATCCATTTTAAAAGGTGTACACCTACCATATACCAAAAATGTTGTTTTCAAGAATTACTTTCATTATCCGCATATCAGGGTTTAGTCGCTGTTGATTTGAATAACAACTCATAAAAGAAAGTAATAAAAAAAACTAATAAAACTAATTATTACTTAAAAATTTATATTTACTTTAATTCATATGTATTTGTATTTATTGTCATTGCAGCACTATTATGACCAGTAACTTCCACAAAAGTACAACCTTCTTAGTCAAGTTAGTATCCAACCTGTGAAAAACAATAATTTTAATATTTAAAGTTAGAATGGTTTCTAATTCCCAAAACACTTCCCAGAACACTGAATGGTTTATTCTGTGTTCTGGGAAGTGAAGTTGAGGGAACACTGATACCTTTAAAACGCAAGCATGTTGAATGTTAGTTAGCATCTATGATATAATACGTTTTATAATATAATATTTTATAATGATACCTATTAACATTCAACAGTTTGTTAAAATCTCTCAGCTTTAAACTATTTCACTGCTCTTTAACATTTATAGGTACGAATTCAAGCAACTAAGTAGCCTGATAATTGATGCTACTGTTTCTTAAGAGACCATTTAGTATTGTACTATTACTTTCTTGTGTCAATTTTATCTCCTGATGACACTTTATAATTTCTTTTAGTATGAACATTTTAAAATCGTATTTTGCAGCTTATTGAATAAACAAAGTGTTTTTAATACAGAAACAAAAATAATTCACTGTAAAATTAAGTATGGTTGGAAAGACTTGGCTAAAGCTTTCTAATTGGGAGAAGTTATTTTTTATGTATCTATATAAAATTCCAAGTAAATGTACATACCTATATTGCAGTCAGTAGATAAAGTAGGTGGTAACCATTCCAAAAGAAAAAAGCATGAGAAGATAACTAAAACACAGTTATAAAAGCATTTCAACAAAGTTTAACAATAAAATAAATATACCTTTGTATTAAAAACTTATTTACATATTTATAATTACAATCGTCACACTTAATTGCGTTCATGTAAAAGCTTGAATAGAAATAGTTTTGTTTTGAGATGTCGGAAATAAGATTTCGTAGTTTTTGTATTTAATTTTAATGAGTTTTTGCTTAAAATATTAAGCTAAGAGTATATCTAATGAGAAAACTCAGACTGTATATACACAGAATGCCTACACAGTATCCAAACGTGCATCAAAATCAGCATATAATCTGAGCAGTGACAATTTTAAAGAAAATGTACAAAGTAAAGTTTATTCCTAACGATTTTTGTGAGGATGCGGTTGTGCCTCACAATTTGGGCAAAACGGTTTTTTTCATTAAGTCTAATTTTTGTGTAATAACATTTTAAAAAACCGTTTAATTTTTTTCTTAATTGCATCAATTTAAAGCCTAATAATGTGGTTATTATAATAAACTGTTAAAAAATACATTTTGCTTTTATTTTCATATAACATTAATCCAAACGTTATGGGGGTGATTATGCCCCCACTTCCCCTATATATATATATATATATATATATATATATATATATATATACACTTATTCTTTTAGTGTCTGTATATATATATACACTTATTCTTTTAGTGTCTGTATGTATATATATATATATATATATATATATATATATATATATATATATATATATATACATATACTTTTAGTGTATGTGTATGTGTATATATATATATATATATATATATATATATGTGTGTATGTATATATATATATATATATATATACTTATTCTTTTAGTGTATGTATATATATATATATATATATATATATATATATATATATATATATATATATATATAAATATACATACATGTATGTATATATATTAATTTTAATATATATAGTATTAAATATCATAATATATGATAATATATTATATTATCATATAGCAATGATATATAATAATGTATGTGTAATAATGAATACTGCAACAACTTATACTAAATGAAGCAATTTTATCATTTTAAGTAAAGCTTAAATTGCAAGACATCTACTGCTTAGTGTGCTAAAATGCATTGCATTTACAAAAAACATGTTTAATAATATCATTAAACATAACTATATTGAACTAATGATATTACATATTTAATTGAAACCATTGTTAATAAAATTTTGCTCTTTTACTAATTAAACTCTTTTACTAATTAATAAATCGTGTCAATTTTTGAACGAGTGTTTAACTCTTTTATTAGCTATAATGTATAGTTTATACTAAATGAATAAAGTAAAGAAACCGTTTTTTTCCTGATAAAAACACTTGACGGAATATTCTGTGATTTTTGCAAACGGAATAATCCTTCAAACTAGTTAAATGGGCAGGTCCAAATGGGACCCATCTAGAGTTCCTTAAAAGTTTATAATATTCTTTTATTTTTTTAATGAACAAAAATTTTATATAAAAATTTTCTTTAACATAGAACTGGAAGGTTTACGTTAGTCCATCAGAGTTTTTATCATTTTGCGACAAAGTTGAATCTAAAATTGCATTGAAATGTGGTCTAAAAAGAGGTTGGTTTTCCTATACAGATTTGAGTCATTTACTTCTTGCATCGAAGCACCAAAAGGTCTTGACTGAAATCTTGCATAATACAATCAAGGTAGTTAATTATATATTTTTTAATGTCTGAGTACTAAACACATTTGTGCTCTAAATCAATTCTTTAACTTTGATTTGCACAATTTCAGGCAAATCAAACAATTTTTAAATTATTGAAATTTGACGATTTTAATTATTTTTTTTTAAAAAAACTTGCTATTTTTTTCTTACATTGATAGGTTATTGGAAGCTGTGTATTTATGTATAGCATATCGATAAGTCTTTTGGCAATTTCTATGACATATGTAATCTCTAATAAAAACAGAACATGTTGTAATTTATCCGAGACTAGTGAAAATTTAAGCAACAAATTCAATGAAAGCCGAATAGAGTCATTGCAAACCCAAGGCTCTATTAGTCTACCATTAAGCAAAATATATGTGTCAAATAAGTTGTCCTTTTTCCCACTTAACAAGAAACCATCCGCTTTATGCACCTATTCCAAACATCTGCAATGTAATTTTCAAGTATCAATAGTTTATGGCCATCAGCAGCACAGAAACATAACAGTTTACAACCTTGAAAGCTTTTCTTCTATTCAACACAATAAGTTTGAAAAAGTATACAACTATAATGATAATTATCTTGGAAAAGATTGCACTACTGTAACTGGTTCTATTCAAACTTTTTTGTCAAAAATTCAAAAATTTCAAAATCAATTTCAATATCATCTAAAAAGAGAACATTTATTGAACTATGAGTTAAACATACCAAAGTGGTTAACAATAATGATGTAACTCTATTGAAGCTATTTGTTAATTTCACTGCTAAATGAAAAAATTTAAACTTATATTTATAAAAAAACGAGTTATGTTATTTTGTTTTTTAGCCAATTTTTCCAAGTGTTAAACGTGAACTTGTGTTAAACAGTCTTGTATCAAGTATTTTGCATCAGTTAGTGTACTATGAAATCTTGCTATTATGAACGAATTTAATTTATTATTATATCAGGGGGGCTTTTCTGTTGCGAAATAATCGAATATTTTAATAATTTAAAAAAGTTTCTTTTTTAATATCGATTTGTCAATAGTTTTTTAGTTTAAAATTTCAAAGGAGAGTCATTTTTATACGGTCAACTGCAAATAATCAAAGATCGATATCTTTGATTTTATTCGTAACTATGGTATGAAAAAAGTATTCTTAAGCATGTCTTTTACTGCAAACATTCAAAGATATCGGAACTTCAAAAAAAAATATTTTTAAGCTGATATTTTTTATGTAGACCCGATATCTTCGATAAATTTTTTAATAAATTAGCGTAAATTTAAGAAAATTTATGAAAAATTTAGTTATATAAAACAGGTATAAAAATGCACGTTAATTTTAATATTACAGAGAGAAAAATATTGCCTTTAGGGGCAACTACCCTCAAATTTCAAAACAACACATATAAAGTAACTTTTTCTTTAGTCATATAGTAAATATTATACTGACATTAAAAATACCAAAAAATACATAAAATGGTAGCTCGTTGCTATGGCAACTCAAAAAAATAGCTAAAAAACCCACAAAAACTGTGTTTACGCCGTAAAAAAAATAAGAATTATGAGTAAAGGAGTGTCAATGAAATTTTGTAGAACTGTTCTAAATATGTAAATTTGTGATATGAGCGAAGCAGATTTTTGAATAAAATTTTTTTTTTGATAAAAAAACTACAGTCAAATTAGATTATTAAAAAAAAAATCAAAATACAAAGAAAAAAACTCAAAATCTTAAGTCATATGAGAAATTCTACTCCGCTCATATCATAAACATTGGTAAAATGAACGATCCCTGAAAATTTCATCATAATAGCATGTATACTTTTTAAGATTTTTTTCCCGGCGTGTTTAAAAATTAAATTCTCAGAAAACACAAAACAAAAAATAAAATCAAAAATTATTGTTCATTTCATAAAAATATCTTTAAAAAAATAACTTTTTAAAAGAATATTTCAAAAACTACCAGATTCATAATATTCCTTGGACTTTTCTATTGACTTTTGATGATCATCCTTTGATAATCGTTGACGTCGTAACATCTTTCGTTTCATCTTAAAACTTTCACTCGATTTAAATAATGATAGTTTTATTCGTTTTTTGTTTATGAGTCTGCAACCAGCTAAAGTAAAATGCCCTGGTTTCATATTTAGTTTTTCATAAATTAAAATGACAGACTTCATACTGATGTTATAATTTGCAACAGCATCGTACACTCCAAACTCTAAACTGGCTAAACCAACATAATTACTTTTTGGTAACCTATCCCATATTAAATTATTAAAACTCTCGTTGCAATTCTGGGTTTTGCCATGAAGACACTTTACTAATTCAGAATCTTTACTTAAATCAGCATATATTGGCTTGATTTTGTGAATAATATCCGCAGGAATTCCTGGTCCAGGTTTGTATATGGAAGTAGACTTAGCTTTATCAATGTTAAACTTACACCAACTATCACCTCCAGTCGGGCAGTAAATATGATAGTTATTTTCCTTAGAAGAAGCTACATGGAAAAGGCTAGCTAATACTGCTTGTTTCATTTTATTCAGATCATTTGTATTGCTTCGGATAGCTACACCAAAAAATTTTTGCAAGCGATCAATAACTGCATTGGTTAGTCGACCACGACCACCTAGACCCTTAATATATTTTTTTAACTTGCGTAAGCGAGTACCGACTCGTTTTTGGTAATGTCCTACACACTCCAACTTTTTTACCTCCATATTTGGGTATATATCTTTGATAGAAAGATGGGATTTACTATCCCCATCACCAAGAAATTGAGTATATCTTAACTTGTGTTTTTCGATGGAGCGTTTAAAAACTCTCACTGCGCTAACTGATTCCATACCACCAGCTGTACCTTGATAATTGTACAGGCAAATATGTTTGTTTTTCCAATTAGCATATGCATCAGGATTTGATTTTTTTAATTGTTCTTTCATACAGCAAGCTTTACATGATTTATTCATAGGTTCAACATCGATTATTTTTCCACTATCTATTAAAATTGCGGTAAAAACTCCATTCATTGACTGATATATTTCTGCCATGATCCATCGCATGATACACCATTATCAACAATGTCCTCACTAGTTGCATTTTCTTTCATTTCAGTTGCAGCATCTGACATTGTTTCGTTTGCAACACTTTTCACAATGTTTTTTATTTTAGTTGTAATTTTTGAATAGTTTTTGGGTGTCATGGGTTTTGGCATATTCATGAGCTGAGTAAACTTTTCAATGCCAGTATGACCATGGCCTAAGACTCTTATAGCATATATTGTCCTTTTGTTAATATCAAACCCTTTATCACAAGCAACTGATGTATAAAATTCATGTTTATAGTCACAAGATAGTGTAGTACACTTTAAATATAGCAACGTTGCTAGACCTTTCTTTTTTTCCTGATGATCACCTAAGTACAGTGCACACTTTTCACATTGAGGACACATTAACAATGAAAGAACTTTAGATAAAATTTCAGTGTCTATAATTCTGTAACCAGTAATTCTTTTAATGTTTTTACTTGGTACATTTGTAACAACTTTTACTTTTTTAGCTGATGCGCCTAAAATATTTCTTTCAATAGAGTCACATTCACTTACATTACATGCATTTTTATTTTTCTTCACCATAAATCCTCTTCTTTTTTTGTAGTAATTTGTTCTCTGCTTGACTCTATCATTAATATTTTTGTTCAAAATAACACCCAAATCAGTAGGTTTTGTCATAATTTTTAATTTCTGCTGTTATATAAATTAGCTTTGATAACTTGATAAAATCGTATTAAAGTAGCAATTGTAAATGGCATATAATAAGGAACAGAATATTAATTAGCAAAGAAGATATAAATCAAAGCATATATTTGAAACAGCAAAATATTCGCCCCCATAGCAACGCGTTGCTATGCAAATATTTTTTACTTGAGTTCAAAAAAACATAAATTAAACAAAAATTTATAAAAAAATGTTTGATTTTTTTTGCAGATTCAAAATCTGCATAAAATTTTGGTCTAAAATTATTAAAAAAAAAAAAATCAAATTTTTAAAAAAATGAGAGGGTAGTTGCCCCTTAAGTTCCGCAGGAGCGTAATTCGCCGACAAGCGTAATTAAGACAGGGATATTGAGTATATTTCAGTTTCTAGACTTGTTTACTTAGACGAAACCAGACTCAATCTTCATTCCAGCTAATGCTATGGATATGCACCCGTAAATTAAAAGACATGCTGTTACACTGGAATAGAGGCCAAAATATTGGTTTAATGATTGCGATATCTATGGATGGCATGATTGCATAAAATTTAATTAAAGGTGCATATGGATAAATGGATCAAACTTTTTGGATTTTATTTTGAAAAGCTCGTTCCATACTTTTGCAGACATCCTGACAAACTTCTTATTGTGTATAACTGCAAGCTCCACCAAAGGGTTGATTTCAAACAAAAATAATGTTTGTTACAAATTTGTTACACCTTACACGCCACAGTTTATTCCAACACCGTACAATGGTCTTTTATTAGGCCAGTAATTTTTTTGAATAAATATAACGGGCCATTATATGCCATCATTTTGCATTATTTGCTGAGGTTTTGCGTTTGCCGGTGTAGTACGAATTTATTTCCCCCATAAATTTATTTCCGTGGCGAAAGTTTCAGTTACTAAGGAAATAATATTACACGGCTTACGCATAAAATTGTTTCCCGACATAAATTTATTTCCGATGTGGAAATAAATTCGCAGAACATTCTACAACAACAGAATATACAATAGTAATCAAAAATTGAGAATCAGAATAAAACTTACAGTTTCTAAATGATTAGTGATTTAAAAAAATACCTTTATTTTTATTACTTTTATTTTATTTTTAATACGGTTTATTATTTATGAAGTTTTATTTAATATACAGTATCGGACAAAACAAGTGCAACCAAATAATGGTAATTAGTTTCTTTATATAAAAGTGCTGCATTTTTTCAATTTAGAGAAATAACTATGTAACTGTTTAGAGACAACGTTTTTCAAGTTTTATTCATCACAAAGTTCATTATTTGTACACGAAAATTAATAAATTAATCAAAAGTATTAAAAAAAAGTTGATTTCCTTCTCGACAAAACAAGTGCAACTCCACAAAATGTTGACCAAGCTGTATTTCGCTATCAATATTTCGTGGCGAATCCTTTGTTGTCGATCACAGCCTTGCATCCTCGAGGCATAGATTCGATTAGGTGATCAATGAAACTTTGTGGAATCGCTGCTTAGGCCTTTTGGATTTGTTCAAACAGTTGATCCTTATTATGAACACCTTCACGCGGTTGGCAATCTCCCACAGGTTCTCGATAGGGTTGAGATCTGGAGATTGAGGCGGCCAACCCATCATCGATAGGTGGTTGTCTTGAAACTCTGCTTGACTACTTTTGCAGTGTGTTTCGGATCGTTGTCTTGCTGAAAAACCCATTTTATTGGCATATTCCATTCAGCATGAGGTAACATAACATCTTTCAGGATATTTTTATACATCAAACGATCCATTATTTCATCGATTCGATGTACTGGACCTTTAGCAGAAAAATACTCCCAGACCATTATATTGCATTCACCATGATTCACAGTCTTATGGCAGTAACATAAATCGAGGCGTTTTCCGGCCAGTCGACGTACACAGCAAATGCCATCGCTCCTAATGATGTTGAACTTCGATTCATCACTGAACAGAACAGTTCGCCATTTCTGCACATTCCAGTCAATATGAGATGTAGCAAACAAGAGTCTTTTCTTCTGGTTCTTTAGTGAAATCAGCGGTTTCTTTGCAGGGCGTCGAGAAAACAATTCCGCTTCAACAGCACGTCGTTTAGTTGTTCGGTTCGATACAGGCAACTCTAATTGCTTTTATATCTTGACTGATGATATCCAGAGATTCTTCTTGACGGATCTGATGATCATAGAATC